AATCCAGACAAATCTCCAGAAATCTCAAAATAAGGGTGTACACCGCCGTGATTAAGCCGGTTCTGCTGTAAGGTTGTGAAAGCTGGGCTCTAACCGTCACACTAGAAGCCAGAATTGAGAGATTCGAAAGAAAAGTTCTACGCAGGATAACAGGACCTATATGGGACCAGAACCTTGGCACATGGAGGAGAAGGAGAACAATATAGAACTGCTGAAAGAAACGGGTCAGTCAATATATCATGACATGAAGACAAGAAAGTTCAAATGAGCGGGGCATATAGCTCGTAGCAATCCATCAGGATGCCTTTAAACAACAATGAATGCAGGAGTAGTAGACAAGATAACACGTGGGATGCCAAAAATCAGATGGATAGATAGGATAAACAAAGATACGGCTGAGCTTCACGCCGCGAACTGGAAAGCAGTAGCCCAAGATAGGTAGAGGTGGAAAAGGATGGTTCAGGCGGCCAAAGATCTACAAGCTCTGTAGAGCCAACCGAAAAAAAAAATATATATATATATAGTAACATCATTAAATAAATAAAAATAAAATAAACTTAAACAAAAATTATATGCAATAATGTTATTTTCAAAGAGGTAATTTTTTTTATGTTTACAATTTTTTTTTGTCATATCAGTGTAACTTAGATATTTATTTTAGTTTCTCCTTATGTGGTCTTATGTTCATAATTACTATTTATTTTTGTTATTACTGCATTTATTAAAGGTTTCAGAAATATCTTCACAGTTCATAGTTCCAGAAAAAAAATTTCTTTTTCCATTATACTATACTCTATACTATAATATATTATTAAGATAGGCATAATAAGAATAAAGTTTAGCAATTTCATAGATTCCTTATATCTTGCTTTTATTTGTTCTTTCATTTTTTTCGTCCCTTTCATTTGTCAATATCTATAATTCTAATATTGTAAGTATATTTAATAAAACCGAAAGAAGACTTAATGTTTTAAAATGTAATATATGAAAGCTAATAACGATCAAATGTTAAAATATTGCATGATGAAAAATGATATATCATCACCATGTTTGAATAATGCGTTTTCTTTATAATCTTGATGGAAAATATCACTTTCATAGACATATTTTAGTTGATTGTCTTTAAATTATTTATCGTTAGTATTAATGATAATTATTTTGAATAAATCAATCGAAAGGGAGGTCTAATTAGTAAATAAATCTTGTTTTCTTTGTCCACAACTGATTTTTCTGAAAATATGTTCGTCCTAAACTATTAAATAATGTAACAAGGTATGTTTTTTTGTGTGTTTTTTTTAGAAAATCCGTGATATTTATTTTTATTTATTTTCTCGGTATAGATCGATCTTCTGGAAGTTCCTAAGTTTTCCAATGGAGTTTTCACCATAAGGTTTCCTGACTTGTTAATATAACTATTTTAGTTGTTTATGTTAATACGTGGTAGAGACTCCTTTTTATCAAACTGTTAACATCAGTCTAACTGTTTTATTATCTAACTTATTTCAAAGTTATCGGAAATAGGGTACTTTTAATGCGAAAATCGGTAAAATTTGTCTATTTAGTAAAGTAATAAAATTTGTTTATGAACGCTCATACATCAGTTATATTGAGAGAAAAAGTGAACTTCAAAATATTGGCGTGACCACCAAAATGTAAAAATAAAAAGGTTTTATAGGACAAACTGTCCATAATTTTGTATGCTACCATTTGCTTTTTGTTTTTTTAGTTTTTTTTCGAATTTTTGAAATAATTTCCTTACGATAAGGTGGAAAGCGAATGAGAATTCTGGAGTTTTTAGTACCTAAATTAACCAATTAAATGGGAAAAGGGCACATTCCTGAAAATTGGGAAACACTACCGTTTTTCCTATGACAGAATATTCTTTTTTATTCGTTAAAAAACTAGGTGTTCAGGATTCCTAGAAATATTTAGACCATTCGATTTAGCTTCCTCTGGACTATGATTTATTAACTTAATCAAAAAAATAGAGTTATACCGGTTTTTCCCTGCCTCCAAATGTTTTTAAAACTTGAACTGAGCACATCTTAAAACAAATAATCTATTGATTTATTATTATAAGCTAAAAAAATATATGTGTATATCTACCGTTTCAGAAATAATTATAATTTCAGATGTGAGCATTCCCGCTTATTCATATGGAGCACGATGAAAATTGCATATGCATACTTTTTTATATTAATTGTAACATTATTAAAATAAGAATGTTATGATAACATCTCGATTTCGTGTATGATGTTGAAAGGTCATAGGAAACGAGTTTAGTTTAATGTAAATATGTTTCCTTACGGAAGTAGTTGGATTCTGTGACATTTCCTGGTGTATGCATACACACAAACACGTATATATATGTGTGGTGTTTGAAGATTTGGAGTATGGTAATTATACAACAACTCGTCATGAAGAGTTTGGCTCTTTTTTTCGTTCTATTTCTCTTCTGTGTGAGTATTTCAATACATTATTACTACTTTTTGTTTTTTCTCAGCGAATGTTATATTTCGAAGAATGTTGATTCTCTGACTGGGCAATATAAACATAAACATAAAGGCAATATAGGGGTTTATTAGTTTAGCATTTTTTCTTTTTAGGTACATATCACCTGTATCCCTCGGAAATTAAATTTATATTAAAAAATCATATCAGATAAACTAGACATAATTAAGCGATACTAAATTATTTTATTCAACTTATTAGGAGCAAGGGTTGAAAATTTTATGATTTTCTATGTGTTCTATTTCAACAAATTCTGCGAAACATTTTATGAAAACTTTCGATTTTAACAGTTTCCGGAAGAAACTTTTTGTGATAAAGTTCCAGGTTTATGGTGAATGTTTAATTTTTTATAAGCTGTAATGGTTAGATTACAGTTATAATTTGTCTTAAATGAACTACACATGATTGTAATGTGTCGTTTGTTTGAGTAGCTAAGAACAAATGTCATTTTTAGATCGAATTATAAGTGAAATCGACAGAATTTTTTTTTTAAATAAATGTTATGCAAAATCTTTACTTGAAAAGTTGCAAAGGGAAAAGATCTAGTTACAAAAGAACTGCAAAACTTTTTTTATTTTTCGTTTCAAGCTCTAATTAGGTGGCCGATGTTTAGAAAATTTATTAAACGAAACAAATAAAAAATTAAGAAAAAAGTTAGGTAAATCTCTGAGGTCAAATCTGAGGTTTCCCATGAATGAACTCTCCCCATACGTTTTTTTTTTTTTTTTTTTTGTAGCTGTGTGTGTGTTAAAAATACAGAGACACCGCTTTTTAGTTCATCAGCGAGTGGTACCCATTGTTGAAGCTCATCGTTTCCTCTTTTGACTCCTCTAATCAGCGACCTACTATTCAGTCAGCTGTAACTTCGATAACTTCATTATAAAAAATCTCCCATCTCTCACTTTTTGACGATGTAATCCCTTACTGGTTGCTATGTTTCAAAGAAGAAGGTCGCTGTGCAATCTCCAGATAAGATAATATGGCATTTTATCAATTCGTAATCAGACCTTATTACCATCATCTACTAATAACAATTTTTTAATATTTATTTTAATAATTATATATTTATTTGTCATCTGAAAAGTATTTTTTGCAACAAGCAAATTTGTACTCATTTCTAATCACGTTAGAAAGTCTCTTTCTAAAGACTACCATCTTAAAATTCATCGGAGTGGGAAATACGGGTTCGTAGAGGAAATAAGTATTTATTAATGAATCTGTGCTGTGAGTTGAAATGAATATTAGTATATTAACAGTTGGATGTTAATTTGTTGTTTATTATAAAGTGAAAACGTAAAACCTGTTGTTTATCAACGGCGTTATAAGTTTGTATATAATTATTTTAGTCGTTAGTGAATGAGAAAAGTCAAATTAAATTAAAATGGCGTAAAATTGACGATAATTAAGTTTATAATCCGTGATACAGACCCCTTTTTATCAAATTATTAACATCCTCCTGCAACTTCATGTCATTGTAACCTACAAATATTTTATTTACGAGAATTCTTGAAATTCTCAATTGCAATTTTTCTCAAAAGCAATTTGGAGAGGAGAAAAGTTTGTATATTTAATTAGGTACTAAAAACTCGTAAATACTCAGTTCCTGATTTGCCAAGACCGATTTTGGGCAACACGAATAAGGCGGAGATAGTCCAGTTCTAAGGGTTTTGGTGAGATGTAATGAGAAATGATAAAGCAATATTATTTTTTATATATTCCTTGGAGAAACATTATTTGTTCTGAAAAATCAACTGTTTTATCATTACTATTTTCTTCAGGTATATAATTACCTAACCACCAACTTAGTTACTTTTGAATAAAAAAATATATTTTTATCCCTCAAACATCGGGCATCAATCTCTGTTTTGTGAATTTGTAATTTTGCACCCGAACGCCGCCTTGCGGTAGGTTGTAAAAACAGAGATAAGACTGAAGAGGCCTAAGCTAAAATCTCTCTCTATCCACTTCTGGCCGAGAACTCTTAGAAAGAGGACCAAAAAATATTTGAACTTACGAGCGTCCCCCAAAGCCAAGTAAGATTTGCTGTATGTCTGCATAAAGAGTGATTTGCTTTTCATAAATCATACAACCTACCATTTCAATAAAAATACAGTCCACTGCCAAATTATGCCGTATGTTGCCTGTGTTGAATTTATTAACTGTAATACACAAAACTTAGGCGTTATTAGCCTTTTTTTCTCATAGAAGTAGAAAGTTGCCTAAACATTCTCCATTAATATAACAATTAGAAATTCGTATCGGATAATGAACTGCTATGTCCAACCGTTGAATTCGCGTAAGTAGATTGTTACAGATATTTATGAAATAATTCATCAAGTATTTACTATTGCCATTCCCGAACATTCGGTTCTGATTTGTTACCTTACCGATTGCGCAGGTTTTGACGAGCGGCCAGGCTAAGGAAGGGAACGAAATGCAAAACGAAACGAAGCCCAACCGAGTTACAGAGGCCTCAGCTACTTCGGGAAATGATTCTAGTTCAACAACAGCTGATCCATTGCCCATGGACGACTCCAGGGGCCCCCCTCGCTTTCGTCATCAACACCGTCAACCATCTTTGAAATCCTTCTGAACGACACCACGATAACCGTCTTATAAGCACTATATAATATAAATGTATTTTGAACTATAAAATAAAAGATCGTAAAATCATATTTGGTGTTTTCATTTAAACACCTAAATGTACTATTTCTCTGTCACTGCCTACTACACTAAATGGCAACGATCACCATCCATCACTACCAACCGTTAATGCTATTCTATCTTCCTGAAACTGCTCACTATATCTGCAACTATATCTGGAAAGAAAGTATTTTAAATATTATTTTAACTTACCAAAAGAATTTTTTAACTTCATTATATAAAAAAAACACATATAACAAATACATGTAGTTTTTCTTTGCTGGAAAGAAGAGGCGGGCGGGGGCTAAAAGTTCCGATTTTTAAATAATATCAAATATTATTTATAAAATCACCTATCAAGTTTCAAAATGTATACTAGCTTATAAACAAATTATATATTCTTCTTTATAAATCTAAATTTTGGTTGTGCCTTCAACGAACTTTTTATATAAAATTTAAAATTCCAATGATTCCAAGCGTAACTGGCACTTACTGCCTTTAGATTTAGTGTAATTTTCAGTAAATTTAAAGTCATTTTTACTCTGAATCTGTAAAGGAAAAAAAAAAGTCTTATTTGTTATTTTGTTTATTTCCACTGAAGTTCAACCAAGTTGTCTTGGTCCCGATTTCCTCCTTAACTATCGAAGTGGTGTGAACTTCAACCATATTTTTATTTTTTCTAGCTTAATGCGTTTTGTTCTGAATAAAGAAAAGCATTGGTTTTGTTAACTTCGAACAAACAACAAGTTGAATTTTTCCTATGGGTTTTCTAGTTCCATCCATTTTATAAGTGAAAACTATTAAGTATATATCACTACTATTAGTGCAAAAGATCGTATGTTATTTTATTCTATTTGTGCTAAACGTGACATTTTGTATTCTGCATGCGATATATTATAGAACATATACTATGGAAAATAGCAGAGGACAGTAAAATATGAAATTATACCAACAAAGCATAAAGAAATAATGAGTTTTTACATAAGATCTTTTGCACTACCAGTAGTGATGAAATGCATGTTCAGTATGCATAGGTATTTTTTAAAATCAAGAATAATCAATATGGAATCTTCAAGTACGGCACTCTTTCGTATTTTAATATTAGCTGATAAACGAAATTCGTGGATATCAAATCCTCGAATGTTGAAGGCTAACTGTATTTCCGAATCGGCTTCTCTCAGAGATTTTATTACATACGAAAAATTGTATACCTTGTAATATAGATACATTTTAGCCAATGAAAACTGTGAGGAAGCTATACTGACCTTACTTGGCAGACGTTTTTTCTATAATAGTTATCATTTATAATTAATTCACGTATCTAAATTGTACTTCCAGGTTATACATTATTTCACTTCTCAATTAACAACTGATGTAACTAATTAGTCTTTATAATTAGGAACATATAATATAGTTTAGATTATAATTAGTATTATGAGAACCACTGGGCTATAACTTGTACGATAACACTTATATTTATCTCTTTTCTTTTTGGAGCTGTCTCACTCGGAATAACCTAACCTAGTAACAAAAGAATACCAAAGAAAACTTATATAACAGAATAAATCAAACATGATACAACATTAAATATATTAAAAAAATTAAAAACATATTCATACTTATTTACAATATGGTATCTTTTAGCCCCGCTCTCTCGTACTTGAAAAAGCCTTGTATTTTCCCAACTAAACATCTGTCGGACCACATTTACTTATTGTTTTTAAAAATATCCGTTGCTATCCTTTCCTATTACAAGACTCTGAAGTATTAAATTTTTTTTTTAAGGCTTATCAATTTTACGCCCAAAGATAATAGTATTATAGACAGCGCAATCGACCTTAAAACATTTCTAAGCCTATGAAGTGGCATATTACAACTAATTTCTTGAAATAATAGGATTATTCTGGTAAGAAAAGGAGATTAATACGCAGTTGAAGATTTTTTTAAAATAAAAATATTACAATTTTTCTGAATTAAGGACACTTCTAATAGAGTTCAGAGAGCACATTCACACCATATTTACAGAACAAAAAATAAATAAGGTAATTACAAAATAGTATACAGCGATATAAGAACAAAATAAAATATCATAATGTTGGGAAAAATAATAAAAATAAAAAAGAATTAAAATCTTCTTAAAAAAATAAAAATAAACATCTTAGACGCAGTCATATCTATGTGCACTATTTACAATTGACAATGTTTTAAAATAATAAATTGGTGATATATTATCTCATTCGATTAAGATTATTGCTGAACGATTTGGAATAATTCAAAAAGTTGTTTAAGGGAAAGGTAGTTCTTCCGACAACGTAATAACGGACTGTTTTGTATCGAAGAAATCTATTGATATAAAAGTTACAAAAAGTTGAGTCTTGTTTGCCTTTTATTAAAATCCATATTATTTATGTAAATAGCGCCTTGACAATCTTCGAAATAATCCTTTATTTGAACTGCATTGTGGTCTTCTTACATTGTATGGAAGTATTTTGGACTTGAAAGTAAAGATTATGAAATGTTGGTCACTCATTGAGGTTATTGTGGAGATGAGGTATTTGAATTTTTCTACTCTCGAGAATGATCTTCCTTCTAGACAGATAGTGTATGCGCAGATGTACACTAATAACATGGCAAATAAAATATAATTTAAGTCAAAATTAAAAATAATTGAAATTTGTGAGCTGACGTTGCGTCCTCCTTTCCTTGCATTTGATTTAATAAATTTTAGCATATGAACAAAGATATTTTATCAACAATATCTTATAAAATTAATTAATACTTTTATAAAATTAATTTTTAAAGTACCCATTGCGGCTATAATTGGCTTACCTTACCGACTTCGCAGGTCGTCATAAGCGAACATACTTCAGCAGAGAGCGAAATGCAGAACGGGACAGACATCGCCCAAATTCCTGAGAGTGGATCGACTTCAGGCGGGACGGGAAACTCTTCTAAATCATATCCACTAGGAAGTTCCAGGGGTCCTCCACGCTTTCGTAAACAACACCATCAGCAATCAGAGGAAGCATCATTGATAGAAACTTTATAATCGCCTACTTATTGGAAGTATTTTTAATTTGAAAATAAAGGTTATGAAATGATCTTTTGTGTTTTGTTTTTGACAATCAATTAGTGTAATCCGAAAATGAAAAAAAGTCCACACCGAAATTTTTGTATTACTGCATAATGCCAAATTTAAGAATAATATTAGTGTTTTTCAATTCTAGAAAATAAATAAATCTCAAAACTTACTACTAGGAATGGAACCCATCGATATTCTAAAGACCAATCTATAGTTAAAATCTATAATAATCAATGACCTCGATCAGGCCAGTGAAGTAGAAAAAGAATAGAAGGAAATATACGATAAATGTATCCCTTTAATAAAAGAGAAATTCCGCGAGACCTTCGGAGAGAGAGAGATCTCTGTTTTGGGTCTCTCGGAATGATTTCTAAAAGAACAAAGAGTTTCTTCGAAGTACTAGTTATTGATATCGGAAAGCTTGCAGATGATCATTCATCATCATCTATATGATAATTAGGGGTTAATTGTGTATATTTATAATAATGTATGTATTTATTCAATTTTATAATAATTATGTGTGCGTTCTTATTTTCTAATTTTGGCATTCGAATATGTTTTTTTTTTTTTTCTCTACAAATTACAGAACTTGTTTTGTATAGGTTTTACCGAAACATGTATATTGCGTAATTGTAATTATGTTGGTATAGTATAGTATTAGTATTGTACAAGATGAGTGATATGAAAAAGAATTTGTATATATATATAAATCTGTGATTCAAGTATAATTAAGTGCTATGTCCAAAAAAAAAGAAGGATTGATGAGTATGCTGTGTATCGAGCAACCCTATATAGTAGGGCAGTAGTGCTTTAAATAATATATTTATCTTTCTTTAATATTTATAAAATTGATTTTTATATTCTACCCTTATCCTACTGTCATTTAACTGTCTGAAGTGACCATACCATCTGAGACTTCTACCATCATCACCTCTAGGATGTTTTGCTTTGCTTCCCATTTCCCATCTTATAGCGATTTTTCTGCCCCTGGAAGGATATCCAGAATCGAAAATCCTTTCAGCTCTCCGAAAAAAAGTCACCGTTTTACCGCAAGGAGGATTTTTTTCTTGAGCCATGCACTTTCTAGTAATGCTTTGTAGACCTGTATTTTTTTTTTTATTAAAATATTCCTATCTAACGGCAAGATGTCCAGCATCCACATTTTTTTTTTTTCATATCCCCTTTCTACTTATTCTTGTCTTTGATCCTTGGATTGTCTTAATAATACTCCTTTTACTGCTTAAAAGCATTGTAAGGTTTATTTTTAGATTTTGTCGTTTCTAAGTATTTCGTTCTTCATCTGTAATATAACAGGTGATGGGGCTCACCTCAGGCTTGAGTTGACCTTATCCTATAGAGCTTACAACTAAATTAATAAAACATCGATTTCATGTGATTTGTTGCCAACGTTTTGGAATTTTGGCTGGTAACAAATTGTTAAAAAGAGGGTTTGCCAATTATCGGGATTTTTCGAAAAATGATTTCCTCATTCATTCCCATTGCTTCATGATTTATTTTTTTATATTACTACTACATAACGGATAATGTGAAAAGGAGTTGATCAGCGGTAGGAGGGGGTGCGGTCAAATAAATACTAAATTATACAAATAGTATTATTTAATTTTTTTGCCGACGTTTCGACCCACTTTGCAGGTCTTCATCAGTGCTGCGGGAGGCAGTTGAAACATTAGCCAGTGTTTCAACTGCCACCCGCAGTTTTTTTTTTACTTAAAGCGAATCATTTCATTCACTGACATAAAATTTGTTATAAACCTTAACAATCAAATTATTCAGGTTATCTCGAAGACCACTGAAGGCAGCAATATGAATATAACCGGCTCCTCCTCTCCAGTTCCAGGGTCTGGAACTAGTTCAGAAGACTCAATTTATCCTGTACTGCCGCCTTCATTGCCGCGGGATCTTCCTCGCCATAAATCTTTGGTAGCAACTATACCATAGCAGCATTATCGTCGCCACAGGAGAGCTTCTAGTTGGTTATAAATAATCTTGACTTGAAAATAAATATAATGCAATGTTATATATAGTTTTCTGTATTACATCCAAGGAGTATAATTCATACAAAAAATTATATAGCCCTAGAATCAGAGCCCGAAATTAGTATTCCACTGCGCCTGTTGAATTAGTCGGAACAGAGGTCAAGAAGAATGGCCTGGGCAAAGTGGCTGTGCGAGAAGTGCAATGATTGGGCACAGGAAGAATTAAGAAAAGTTACTTCCAATTATCTTCATTGAATAAATTGATTTTATAAAAAAGAAGTTGTTTAGAGCTTAGAGGCTTATAACCCTGAGATCGACAACGTCTATCTATTCTTTGTTTCAATTTCGTCAATACTAAATTCTTTTTGGAGGGAAGTAAGTCTAAATATAAAAAACTTCAAAACATATGCATGAAAATCATAAACAACTATCCACTATATAAAAAATAGCCACTGTGTTAACATAATTGCAGCTACAAACAATAAAACAATACATTTATTTTAAAACACAGGGATTAAGATTACAACAACATCTGATATTCCCATGATTCTAACAATAGGAAACTATGGAAAGAAATCACAGATACTTCTAACTTGACAAAATTCAACTTCATAACATTAAAAATATTGCTAAACAAGCAGAAAACCTACTTTCCATACCAATTATTGAATAATAGCTTATAAAATATAAAATATGTGACTATGTTCTTAGTTTTATCTTGTTTATACATTTTAAATGGAGCGGGGTAGCTCAGTGGTAGGCACTTAGCTTCCAATTCTGAAGGTCCCAGGTTCGAATCCCGGCTCAGGGCAGAAAAATTATTTATTCTGTTTCATTGGCCATGGGGCGACCCTGGAGTACGAAGACCCTCCTGGGGCACATATCGCACACCCAACGTCAACAAAGTGGGTATCCTTAATTAAATAATTGATTAAGGGAGAAAACCTGGCAGTTGAGCGTGATGGTGGCCCGACCTTTTCCTTGCTCAACCGCTGGCCTAGAAACAATGCTTTCCCTAAATAGTACTGAATCCAAGACGCTTCGTGGGCTGTAGTGGAACAGCTTTTTTATATATAGTTTTTAAGTGATTTATTCATTTTTATAACTTATGTAGGTTTTTTTTTCACTTTATTATAACTATGACATGTATGAGGTAATGTTTCCATAAGCGTGTATCCATTATTGTCATTTATTGCGTTGTGTATATATATATAAAATAATTTTTTATCTGCAAAAAAAAACTGGTGCGGTGCGCATCACAGAGCTGTCACCTACCACCCTCTTCTCTGCAGTAAAAAGGTATTTCTAACAAAGGGGAAATGAAAGTAAAAATTATAGAGGCTGTATTTATTTACATTTCAGTGTGGGTATTTTTACTTGTTTAAATACCTTTATATAGACAAATTTTAATTTTTATATCGCTGTATTCCATACAATTATATATTCAATAACACCAGCGATAGCATTTATGAAAACCGTATATGTATAAGTACATAATATTGTTGGAGTCCGTCTTATATTAAGCTCATGTTATGTATGGAAGTCTGTTTTGCTAAATAAACCATTTTTCGGGACTTGGTTATTTGGACTCAGAAACCTCAAAACGTGTATTTCCATTGAAAACCAAGATTCGAAAATTTTCGCGATCGCAATACTTTCCTTTACTATATATATTTCATATATAGGTAAAAGAAATTTAAAAGTTTAACTACAATATAGTATACAGAGTGTTTGAGTCCTTAATGCTCAAACTCTGAGGATTATTCTAGGCAAAATTTATAACAAAAAAAGTTCATTTGATGCATGGGCCGATCCCGGACGGAAAAGGAGTTAAGACCAATTTTGTGTGTTCACATTTCTTTTCGAATAATAAATTGCTCAAAAACTTTTTAAAATAAAAAAATTCTAAGTACACCATCGTAAAGTATATACAATTTTATTGAGAAAACAGTGATTAAATTTATTAAGGTAAATGATAAAAGGTACTTTAATGAGGTCTGATACAAACGCTGTATTGCTGCAGTTACATTACCCAAACACGAGCAGCATATCTCTGTACTACTGCCGAATTGCTCTTTATCTGCAAGAGCGAATCATTCCGTTCATAGTTGGCAATTTTTGTTTTAATAAGTTTATTAATCATTAAAATGTTGTTTGAACATTTACAATCCATCTGTTCAGGATGCCACGAAGAACCGGACAACGGAAGGCAACAGTGTGAATGGAACCGACTCTTCTTCTCCAGTTCCAGAGGTTGGAAATGCTACAGAATACTCTGGTTATCCTCCTTCGTCGCCACAGTTACCTAGAGGCCCTCCTCGTTATCATCAGTATTTAAAATCTTTGGTAGCAACCATAATATAGCAGCAATATCATCGCCAAACGGGAACTATTAAATATTCTTGAGTAGAAAATAAAAATAATGTAATGTTTTATTTTCTTTTCTATTCCACTTTCAATTATTGTAAAAATTATTTATAATATTATTCTGGAACCAGGACTTAAATTGAGTAATTACCGTAGAAGGTTCGAATGAAAGAAAGTAGCCGTGGGCTTATTTGAATAAAGCCAAGCTTATTTGATAACAAGAAATTTTCTAACTGCTTAAAATTTGCCTAACTGTATAGTCCGTGGTACACCTTTTTATCAAATTAATAACATCCAACTGAAATTTCTTAAATAGTTACATCTCATCGCAACCTACAAGTATTTTATTTACGAAAACTCTTGGAATTGGGGCGTTTTCAATCTGGAGGGGGGCAAACTTTGTTTGTTGATTAGGTACTAAAAACTCGTAAGCATTCATTTCCTTTCTACTTTGATCGTACAATAATTTGATCATAAAATCAAGAAAAAAGATGGCATTTAAAAATATTTGACCGTTTGAAAGACACCCCCAAATTTTCAAAACAACGAGCTTATAAAGGACAAACGGCCCAATATTTTTTTAGGCCAATTTTTTTTTCGATTTTGTGATCAAATTATCTTACAATCAAAGTAGAAAGCAAATGAGTATTTACGAGTTTTCAGTACCGAATTAAATAGACAAATTTTGCTATTTGTTGTTAATAATTTGGCAAAAACGGGTCTGTACCATGTCTCGTAGTTTGTATCTCTTCATCTCCAAAGTCCAGTTAACCTCTGTTTGGTGATTAAGGGGTTGGCTAGTTTAAGGGAGCACGGTGACGATAGAACAGGTCTTTTAACTACAAAGTAGATCACAAATTTCTAGATCAGCTTTGCACTATAGTCTATTTTTTTCAAAACTTACACTACACTCCTTTGCCTCTATATGGTTATTATACTACCACCAAAATGGTTTATGTTTTGGAGTTGTATCATTTAATTTTAATCTCTGGATCACTTTGCAAAGTCTATTACATACATAGTCCGTGGTAACTACCTCACAATTAGATAATCTAAAAATACATTGAAAACGCAATAGTCCATTGTATAGAACCCTTTTCATCAAATTATTGACATCCGCCTGAAACTTTGTATATAGCTTCTATAAATTCTTGGAATTGGGGCGTTTTCAATTGGCGGATAGGCAAACTTAAATATACAAAGTTTGCCTAAGTTAATTAGATACTAAAAACTCGTAAATACCCATTTGCTTTTTACTTAAATCGTAAGATCATTTGAGCACAAAATTTAGAAAAAAGATGGCCTTCAAAAATATTGAGCCGTTTGGCGTGACCTACCCTCCCAAAATACCAAAATAACGTGGTTATATAGGCCAAACTGTACAATATTTTTGTAGGCCACATTTTTTCTTGATTTTATGATCAAATTATTTTACGATCCAAGTAGAAAAAAGCAAATGTGTATTTACGAGTTTTTAGGACCTAATTAAATAGACAAACTTTGCCCCTCTTCAGATTTAAAACGCTCTAATTCCAAGAGTTTTTGTAAATAAAATAGGTGTAGGTTACGATGAGATGAAGCTAATTACAAAGTTTCATGTGAATGTTATTAATGTGATAAAAAGGGGGTCTGTGCCACGAACTTCCGTCTAATGGGATACCAAATATTCATAAATACCTATTTATTTTAAAATTGAATTGTAAGATAATTTCATTACTATTAATTTCATCGAGAAAAAAAGACAAGGTGGCCTACAAAATATTGTTGTCGCTATTTACCTTCGTTATATTGATATATTTTGGGAAGAAGTCTTATCTTAATCGGCCTAATATTTTTATAGGTAATATTTTTCCTCTTGTTTGTGGTCAAATCATCTTACGATTTAAATGAAAGCAAATACAAATAGGTGATCTTGAGTTTTATTAAAAAAAAAAAAAAAAGTGTCTGTACTAAGGTCTTTCAAGCAGGAAAAATTCATCGCCTGAAGATGAAGACAGATAGTAAGTTAATTTTATATATTTCAGTGTCGCAATTCTTACAGCTATTTCTACGCACTTGTTGGGACAGTTTAATTGTTTCCTGTGACCCTCCCAGCGTCGAGATGACTATCAAAATGTCATGGAGGAAGTGATGGTAGCGTGTCTTCGGTGCGATATCGTTGCCAAGTGCTTCCAAAAGGAAATGGAAAAAAAAATTAAGTGATGGTATAATACGTGATATAAATGAGGAAGTTCACATTTATAAAATATGGCAAAAGGTACTTATTATTATTTTAGCACTTGCGCAAATATATTATACTTTCCCCAGTCATGGATATGGCCCCGACCTTAACTGAAATGAACCAGTAGGAAGCTTATGGAGGTCTTAAATCACGATGTAAATAAAGAGAAAATATACCTGTGGACATATTAAAGTGTGCCTGTTATTAATGTCGGTATGAATGGATTAGAATGTCCAACAAGTGAGCCATGAAATATTATTTCTTAATTACGTCAGTCACATGTGTTCAAGTCCTATGAGTGATATGTTGGTTATATAGAATGAACAGTGAGTGATATACCGCAGAAATTTAGATTGAGATATAAGTCTATAGTATGTAAGTACGATTTTTATTATTAAACCTATTTAAGTTTTTCTGGAGCAGGGGATCCCCAAAACATTAGTGAATCTAGTTAGGATGACGGAAACACTCAATAAAGTTAGAATCGGTTATTATTAATCCGAGAAATTTGAGGTTCGTTCGGGCTTAAAACAAGGTGATTCTCTTTCACCTGTGCTATTTAATTTGGCATTAGAGAGATGATACATACCGAAAAAGGTTTGAACATGGGTGGAACGATATCCGTGCTTGGATATACTGATGATTTGTCCTGTTAAGCGAAGACATGGAAACAATAAAACTAAATATAACAACGTTGATGGAAGCTGGTAAAGAACAAGGACTCGAGATAAATACGGATAAGACACAATAGTTACAAAAACAGCGATAATTTCAATGGTATCTATATAGAAGAGAATGTGTTTGAATACGTACAGAATTTTAGGTATCTAGGGTCTACGATAACTAGAAAAAACGAAAACGAAAAGGATATTAATGTTAGGCTAAAGGCGGGAAATGCTTGTTATTTTTCTTTGTCAAAATTAATTAGTTCTCGCCACCTGCCCCGAAACTTAAAAATTAAAATTTACAAAACCATCATCCTACTTAGAGTTCTTTATGTATGCGAAACGCGGCTGCTTACATTAAGGTATGAGCAAAGTTTTAAAGTTTTTGAAAATAAAGTATTTCTTAGAATATTCGTACCGAAACATGACGAGTCAGCCGGAGAATTTAGGCGATTACACAACGCTGAATTGCGTGAACTGTATCCGATTAATATCTTTGAGATGATTAAGTTGAGGCGAATAAAATGGCCATGTAAAATCGTTGGGCTTAGTGACGAAAAAATTAATAGGTGCTTTTTTGGCAAGCGTCCGATTGGTAGGCCAAAGTGAAGGTGGGTAGATCGCGTTAAAACTGATTTGAAGACGATTTGAAGGGTTTAGACGGAGCCTGGTGGATGGAAGAATGTGTACATCGATTGATGGTGTCGGCATCGAACCTTTTGGTTCGCTAAACCTTATTATTATTATTATTTAAGTTTTATCTTAAGTCCTTGCAATTTCTGTCTGTTTTAGAAATTCCAAGGCTTTCTTATCGTCAACATAACAATTATCATTAATTGACAATTATTCGTAATTGATACGTCCATGCAATTGGCGTAATTGCATACGTCCATATGCAGCTCATTCATATAATAATGTTATGTAGGAATTAGGCCTTTCTAGTCCCAATCAATTATAGAATTTATTGTACAAATAGCCAAATCTTGGCAACTTCTGGAATCTCCGCATGAAAACTTTTTGTCAATTTTTATCTGAGAAATATATATAAAAATCTATTGCAAGGCTTGAGTTAATTTTACAATAAATTGAGACTATAAAGGCTTGATTCCTATACACTTATAAAAGTCTATTTCACTTTAATTATTCCCTTTATTAATAACTAAAATAATTTAGTTAAAAAGTGATACATTATTTCATGGTATAGCATCCGTCTTTAATGCCGGAGTTAAAAGTCCCCCTCTCCGAAACGCGAACTCATGATTAATTTATCAAATTGTCTTTGATCCGAGTTGCCAAGCAGCGACGATGCTGTGCACATGCATTAGCCCTCTCGGCCACCTCGTAACCAATGAAAGTCATTTAGTTGTATGAAAGTCCTCCGTACAATAATCGATTCTCTCTTCTATTTAACCATTAAAACAACACATGATGACCTTAATATTTCATTTATTCTCGAAATTATCCCAGAAAATGTTTCCAAATTTCATCAGAACTTTACTCTTTACCCAAATACCGCAGCACAGTCCCTATCTAGCAACACCCGCCTCTACAATCCTCCTCGTAGATTAAAACGGCAGTGGCTCCGTGATCTTTTGTAAGATCTATATATTGGAGTTCTGGCAATGGGCAGATTCTCAACTCAAGCCATGAGTGTCTGTAGCTGTATTACTCTCACACAGCCTCCGTTGGCTTTTAAAACCAGTGAAGTAAGTAGTTGAGGGAGAATCATGGGGATTTTCAGAAGCCTTGCTCCTCCCTCCACAAATGGTGTGAGAAGTCTGGTTTGAAGTTCCCCAGGCTGATTGTAAATAGTTTATATACCTGCGCATAAGATGTTTATTTCATTTTTAAAGAACATTTTATTTTATTTAGTTTAATTTTATTGTCTTAGCTGCTCAGATATCTGAAATAGCACCCACAACCCGGAAAAAACATTGAAGGGAATGTAGATGAACGTAAAAATATATAAAAAATTACTTATTTAGAAACTTTCTGACAAATCCTACAGGTATCAAGCAGGACTTCTTTTTGTGCTGTCTTTATATGCTCCAAATCAAGTCCAAGTTGTTGGATTTCCTCTACTGCGCTTTTCAATATTAAACCATTGGAAGATATGATTATTGGAGTAATCCTAACTTTTTCCAAGTGATATGGCGTTTTTAACTCGAAAACAAGTTCTT